TAATTGAGTAATTGCATCAAGTACAAACTCTGCTGCTCGCTCTTCAGTCCATAAATCACTGTATAAATAACAGATGTGTATGGTGATTATGACAAATCATGTCACTTCTTTCAAAGTGTGTCAATGATTGGTCACAATGGGTCTGTTATTTAATTCACACACAGACAGCAAAGTAAATAGTTGTGTTGCCTCTTTGTCCCCTCGTAACAACAACAAAATCAAAAGAGGGAATGGGCCAAAAAAGTGATAATGCTGGAAGTGAAATTCAAATCCCATGTAAATGGACTTTTAGAAAAAATAGGTGACTGTGGGGATGTTGATGCAGCCATCATTCAAGAGACTGCACCTAGGCAGCTAGAGGAACGTGAGAGAGTGAAGTTATTAGCATAAGTGAGGGGCGAGACTGTAACAAAAGGGATGAAGCTGTCCCAGAGGAAGCGACCCTGACAAAAAAGACACTTCACAGTAAAGGAACTCTGAGATATCTCACAACATATAAAGTCCAAAGGATAAGCCCTGGCCAGGTAGCTCAGTTGCAAACACCAAGGTTGTGAACTCAATCCCAGGTTAGGGCACACACATGAAGCAACCAATGAATGCATAAATAAGTGGACCAACAAATTGATGCGCATTTTCTCTCTCTCTCTCTCTCTCTCTCTCTCTCTCTCTCTCTCTCTCTCTCTCTCTCTCTCTCCAATAAAAAAATGTTTTAAAATATATTCTATTGATTTTTTTTTACAGAGAGGAAGGGAGAGAGATAGAAACACATCCATCATCTGCCTCCTGTACACCCCCTACTGAGGTTGTGCCCACAACCAAGGTACATGCCCTTAACCTTTCATTCCACAGGCTGACACTCTATCCACTGAACCAAACCAGTTTTGGCTCCAATTAAAAAATTTAATATCCAAAGGATAAAATGTTGGTGGGTAATCCAAACTTAAGAGAAGTATGACAATTTCCCAAGACATAGAGAAGATGCATTGTAAGTTGCATAAGAACAAGAAGGCAAGCACTTTAAACTACTCTAGCTAGCTAAACTTTTTTTAGTAGCTTTATTGAGATTCACATCCCATACAATTCACTTATTTATTTATTTTTAAATATATATATTTTTATTGATTTCAGAGGGAAGAGAGAGGGAGGGAGAGAGAGATAGAAACATCAGTGATGAGAGAGAATCATTGATCAGCTGCCTTCAGTAGCCCGCAACCCAGGCATGTGCCCTTGACCAATCCGCAGGCTGACGCTCTATCCACTGAGCCAAACCAGCTAGAGCCAATTCACCTATTTAAAGTGTGTAAGTCAGTGGTTTTCAATGAGTTCAAGTTTTTATTTATTTTTTACAAAGATATAAACACTTTACAATGAAATAAAACACTCTGCTGGTACAGTGAGGACTGCCTGTATATTTTATTTCCCGAGGGTAGAGTAGTAAAATGGGTAAACATCTCAGCACTGTCAATGATGTGCTCTGCACTTATTAGCTATGTGACCTTGGGCCAGTTTTAGAAAAATCTCATTAAACTTAATTTTTTTTCTCATCTGTTAAAGGGTCACATAATTTATGAACGTGAAGATGAAAGGAGATAATATGCATATAAAGAGCTGAAATCTGTGCTGTGTCCATAAAGGGCTCAATAAATATCAGGAATCACCATCTCTCTCTCTTCCAAAATGTCAAGCTGGGGACTTTTTTCTATGACCCCAGTCCTTGGCATAGCCACGATCTGCAAGTATGAGACCCATGTCCTTAGCAAAGACAGTTAGCATCCTGAAGCTCTAGTCATTTCCTGGTCTAATGCCCTAATCTTCTAGGTTAAGGCTTTGAAAGAAAGCAGAACTGGGAGTATCCAAGGCAGTATATTAATTTCATGTTTCACAATGAAACAACTGAGTGAGTAGTTAAGACCAGGTGCTTTTATTATGAGCTAGAATTTTGGGATCCCTTAGTCTTCTAAAAATATATATATTTTATTGATTTTTTTTTTTCCAGAGAGGAAGAGAGAGGGATAAAGAGTTAGAAACATCAGTGAGAGAGAAACATCAGCTGCCTCTTGCACCCCCCCTATTGGAGATGTGCCCACAGCAGAGGTACCTGCCCTTGATCGGAATCGAACCTGGAACCTTTCAGTCTGCAGGCCGACGCTCTATCCACTGATCCAAACCAGTTTCGGCTCCCTAGTCTTTAGAATGTGTGAAATAGGGTAATAATAATACCTATCTCTTAGGGTTGTTATGAGAATAAAAGGAGTTGGTATTACAGTTATATGTCACATAATGATGTTTTGGTCAACAACACACCACACAGATGATGGTGGTCCCATAAGATTATAATGAAGCTGAAAAATTCCTTTCACCTAGTGACATCATAGCCAATATGACATCATAATGCACTATTCACGTGTTTGTGGTGGTGCTGCTGTAAACCTACAGTACAAAAAAGTACAACACATACAATTATAGTAGCAACTATACCATCTAGACTTGTGTAAGTGCAATCTGTGATGTTCGCACAATGCTGAACTCCCTAATGATGCATTTCTCAGAACGTGTCCCTATCGCTAAGTGGCGCATGACTGTACATCGGCATTTGCTATTATTGTTATTTAGGTATCTAGTGTAAGTTCCCTGATTCAGCACTGCTGTCCTATTAGTTATGCAAACCAGAAGACTTGGAGCCATGTTAAGGAAGGCTAAGACACCTTCCTTTAACTTACCACCCTGTCACCGAGGCCAACTGCTTTAAAAAATTTTTTTTTATTATTGATTTCAGAGAGAAAGGGAGAGGGAGCGATAGAAACATCAATGATGAGAGAGAATCATTGATTGGCTGTCTCCTGCACATCCTCACGGAATTGAACCCAGGACCCTTCAGTCTGCAGGATCACTCTCCTCTGAGTAAAACTAGCTAGGGCAAAGCCTACTGCTTTTATTCCCTAACTAGAGGCCCAGTGCATGAAATTCATGCACTGGAGGTGGGGGTGTTCCCTCAGGCTGGTCTGTGCCCTCTCATAGTCCAGGACCCCTTGGGGAATGTCCACCTGCCTGCTCGCTGCTCCTTACCGCTCAGCTCACTGCTCCTTAGTGCTGCTGTGGAGGCGGAGAGGCTCCTGCCACCACTGCTGCGCTTGCCAGCTGTGAGCCCGGCTTCTGGCTGAGCGGTGCTCCCCCTGTGGGAGCACACTGATCACCAAGGGGCAGCTCCTGCATTGAGTGTCTGCCCCCTGGTGGTCAATGTGCATCATAGCGACCAGTTGTTCTGTCCTAACAGTCGCTTAGGCTTTTATTATATAGATTATCCCTTGCATCTCCAGCCTCTCTGCCCTAAACCAATATGCCATCATGTCTCCTAAAATAGTGTGGGAACCTCCAAACTAAAAGGCTGTCGCTGTGCTCTATTCTATACTCTACATTGTGACTGCATGGATCTCCTCACTCATCAGATTCTGTCACCTCATTTCTTGAAACACTGTACCAGCTTCTCATTGTACACAGAATCAAGAAAACAAATATCCCTCCAAATAAAAAAACAAAAGAAAAAAAAGAAACACCTTAGTATGGTTGAAAGCCCTGCATGATGATCTTAGTGGCTACATACCGCCACTCTCTGCTCTCTCTACTCCAGTCCCACAGACCTGCCTCCAGGCCCCACAGCCCCTCCTGTCACATAGCCTTTGCCTTGGGTATGCAACCTGCTCAGCCCCAGTCCGAGGCTGTGACACATTATTGATTGCCTACCCATTTCTCTCTTGCTCCTGGAGCCCTGGTTGTTTTGGTTTTTCCAGGTATGGACCAGCAATATACTCCGGGAAGGAGAGTCCCAGCACACAAACCAATCGGTGATTGGTTTAGGGGGAACACACGATCTGATTCTCACCAGTGGGGCCTGAGGGGAAGTCTGTGGGGGTCTTCTGGGAAAGAGTTTTCTTCCTGAGATAAAAAGACTCATGGAGTCTCCTTCTTCCCGCTTATGAATATAGTTGAGAATGTGATAGTTATCTTGCTCCCGTGTGAAGGAAGCCAAGAGAACTGTAGAGAAGCTGACCCAGAACCCTAATGTCTTTGAGCTGCCACATTCACTAGTCCAGGACCCTCCTATCTGGGGACTTCTTGCACGGGACAATAACATGTCCTTTTCATTTCAGTCTCTTGTGGCTGGAAATATTCTGTGACTTGTAGTAGAAAGCATCCCAACAATAAAAGAATCCTTCTTTATTCGGTCAAATCCCCATGCATTCTCTTGGCACCATGTATGTATTTTTGTTTTTTAATTGAGATAACATTTATATAAAATTCACCATTTTGTAGTGTACAAGTCAGCGGTTTTTAGTAAATTCATGCCATATATCACCACTCTCTGATTCCAAAACATTCCCACCACACCAGAAAGAAACCCCACATTCCTTAGGTATTACTCCTTAGACACAAAAAGCCATACATTATAAGATTTCATTAGTATGAAATATCCAGAATAGGCAAATTCAGAGACAGAAGGTAGATCGGTGGTTGATAAGGGCTGGAGTGATAGAGGAATAAGGAGTGACTGCTTAATGGATGAGAGGTTTCCTTTTGGGGCCCCCCAAAATTCTAATACTAGATGGTGGTGAAGTTTACACAATGTGAATGTACTTAATGCCACTGAATTGTTCACTTTAAAAATGGAACATTTTGTATTGTGTGTGTCTTTAAATAATATTGATATTGATTTATTTTAGAGAGAGGGAAGGGAGCAGGAGAGAAACATCGATGTGAGAGCATAACATCGATTGGCTGCCTCCTGCACACCTCCTACCAGGGATTGAGCCTGCAACCTGGGCATGTATCCTGACTAGGAGTCGAGCCAGCAACCTTCTGGTGTATGGGATGACGCCAAACCTACTGAGCTACATCAGGCTATATAGTGTGTATTTTACCATAAAAAAATGTATGGTTCTTGGAAGATAGGGTAAGAAGGCTTTTTGTTGTTTGGTTTCAATATCTAAATCTAAATTCCTTACTGTCACGTAATCTTGCATGGTGACAATATCCACTTCATCAGTTATTTTGAACTTCTGGAAAAGATATTCATCTTCTATAATTTGTTCATGAAACTTCTTCCTCCCCATAAGTTTGTAAGCATCATATGAGGCCTATAAAAAGAATGGAGCATAGACTTAAAATAATATAATAGCAATAACAATCAGCACACACTTTATGTATTTTCCTGACAAATACCTAAAAGATTGTTCCTTTCTTCTAACAGCTTGTATTCAATAAAAGGATAGTATTTAAAAAGAAAATATTATATAGGGATTTCTAAACTACCTAAAATTTGTTCCCATAACCATATCTATGTAGTTTTAAAATGCAGCTAGAAGAGCTGAGTTTACAATTCTCAGAGAACCAGTTTTTAATTAAAAAAAAATTCTCATCTGAGGATATGATTTTAGAGAGAGAAGAAGGGAAAGAGATGAGAGACATCTATTACATGCCCCAACTTGGGATCGAACCCAAGAGAGAGAGAGAGATAGAGAGTTAGAAACATCAATGAGAGAGAAACATCTACCAGCTGCCTTCTGCACACCCACTACCGGGGATGTGCCCGCAACCAAGGTACATGCCCCTGACCAGAATTGAACCTGGGACCCTTCATTCCGCAGGCCGACGCTCTATCCACTGAGCCAAGGACAAGTTATTAAAGGGCCAGTTAGGGCAAGGACCAGTTATTAAAAGATGTTTTTTACCCCTTAAAAAACATTCCTTTCCCTTAAAACAAAACAAAACCTATAACGCCATTCATGTTGTCCATGCAGGAAAAATTTATCTGATTATTAAATAGGTTGGCCTAGGAACTGCAATAAAAGGTATCACTGGGCCAACTATGTTTATGTGTTAATACAGTATATAGCCCCCAAATGGAGACATGTACATTTTATTTTTATTTATTTATTTTTAAATATATTTTATTGATTTTTTCTTTTCTTTTTTTTTACAGAGAGGAAAGGAGAGAGAGAGAGTTACAAACATCAATGAGAGAGAAACATCAATCAGCTGCCTCCTGCACACCCCCTACTGGGGATGTGCCTGCAATCAAGGTACATGCCCTTGACCGGAATCGAACCTGGGACCTTTCAATCCACAGGCTGATGCTCTATCCACTGAGCCAAACCGGTTTCGGCGACATGTATGTTTTAGATTGCTCAGACTTCTTTCTCCCTCAGACTTCATTCTCATTAGCCATAGATTGGCAAACAAAGGGTTTTTCTCATTTACTACTTAAGGAAAGCACCTGAGAGGGCAAAGACAGAAAATACTGATGCTCAAATCCTGTCTGGCCCTATTGGGACCAAACTCTTCCATGCACATTTCTCCTTGTTCTAAGAGCTATACACAGACTGTGAGGAGAGCCTTAAGTACCACCCACCCTCTTTCCCACTCCCCATAGTACGTGCTGCTGCTTCGAATACATATTTGTATTATGCATCTGTGCTTCTGGCCACAAAGGGTACGCTTATGTGAAGGGAGAGTAGCGTAGATGAAGATTTCAATATCTTTTGATTACAGATCAGTCTCACTCTTCTTTTGCATCTCAGAATGTGACGCTGGTGAAAGTATGGGCGCTCTGTGTTATATAATGCTGATGTAAGCCACAGAGGAGTCACTGAGATAGGATGGACTCAAAATCTGTTCTTTTTACTACCACACAATACAACAGCGAGCTTTGATGTATTTTCTATTTCAATTCTCATTTTGTTATCTAGAATGTTTCTTTTTAATTTTCTGAGCTTAGAACACAGATACATATGAAAAATAGGAGAAAATACAGGGTGGCCCGGCTGGTGTGGCTCAGTGGTTGAGCATCGACCTGTGAACCAAGAAGTCACAGTTCGATTCCTGGTCAGGGTATATGCCTGGGTTGAGGACTCGATCCAAAGTGTGGGACATGCAGAAGGCAGCCAATCAATGACTCTCATCCTTGATGTTTTTGTCTTTCTTTCCCTCTTCCTTTGACTCTGAAATCAATACAATATATATATTTATATATTTAAAAAGAAAATAGCCCCAGCTGGTTTGGCTCAGTGGATAGAGTGTCGGCCTGTAGACAGAAGTTCCCAGGTTCAATTCTGGTAAAGGGCACATGCCTGGGTTGCAGGCTAGATCCCCAGAAGGGGGCGTGCAAGAGGCAGCCAATCAGTGATTCTCTCTCATCATTGATATTTCTATCTCTCTCCCCCTCTCCCTTGCTCTCAGAAATCAATAAAAATATATATTCTTTAAAAAAAAAAAGAAAAGAAAATACACAGTGAGGCAAAAGTAGGTGTATAGTTGTGAGTATGCAAAAACGCTGTTTATTCTTGTATTATTATTTATTAATTATTGTATTATTTTTTTTCCTTGTGCAGATTGTTTATTTATTTATTTTTGAAAATATATTTTATTGATTTTTTACAGAGAGGAAGGGAGAGAGATAGAGAGCTAAAAACGTTGATGAGAGAGAAACATTGACCAGCTGCCTCTTGCACACCCCTTGCTGGGGATGTGCCCGTAACCAATGTACATGCCCTTGACTGGAATCGAACCTGGGACCTTTCAGTCCGCAGACCGATACTCTACCACTGAGCCAAACCAGTTCCAGCTATTTATTTTTTTAAATAAATCTTTATTATTCATATTATTATATTACAAATGTTCCTCATTTTTCCCCCTCCATTGCTCCCCTCCACCAGGTTCCCACCCCACCCTCTGCCCTTTCCCCACCCCCCACTATCCTCATCCATAGGTGCACAGTTTATGTTCAGTCTCTTCCCACACCCCCCTCTCCCCTTTTCCCCAAGAATCGTCAGTTCACTCCCCTTCCATACCTCTGATTCTATTATATTCAACAGTTAATATTGTTCATCAGATTTTTTTTAATTTCCTTGGTTTTTGGATTCGCTTGTTGATAGTTACGTATTTGTTGTTCATAATTTTTATCTTTATTTACTTTCTCTTCTGATAGAACCCCCTTCAGCAATTCATATAATTCTGGTTTGGTGTTGATGAATTCCTTTAGCTTTTTTTTATTATTGAAGCTCTTTATCTGACCTTCGATTCTGAGTGATAGCTTTGCTGGGTAGATTATTTTTGGCTGTAGATTCTTGCTATTCATCACCTTGAATATTTCTTGCCATTCCTGTCTGGCCTGCATGGTTTCTGTTGAGAAATCAGCTGACAATCGTATAGGTGCTCCTTTATAGGTAACTACCTGCTTTGCTCTTGCTGCTTTTAATATTCTCTCTTTGTCTTTTGCTCTTGGAATTTTAATTATGATTTGTCTTGGTGTGGTCCTCTTTGGATTCCTTTTGTTTGGGGTTCTGTGCGCTTCCTAGACTTGTAAGTCCAATTCTTTCCCCAGGTGGGGTAAGTTTTCTGTCACTATTTCTTTCAGTATGTTTTTGGTATCTTGCTCTCTCTCTTCTTCTGGGACCCCCATAATTCTGATGTTGGTTCGCTTGAAGTTGTCCCAGAGGTTTCTTACATTATCTTCAACTTTCTGTATTCTCTTGTCTTCTTGCTTCTGTGGAGGAGTGTCTTCTGGCTCTTTATGTTTTAATCTTTGACTTGATTCTTGCGATCTTCCATTCTGTTATTAGAACTCTGTATAATATTTTTTATTTCAGACAATGTATTCTTTTTTAAAAAATATATTTTATTGATATTTAACAGAGAGGAAGAGAGAGGGATAGAGAGTTAGAAATATTGATGAGAGAGAATCATCGATTAGCTGCTTCTTGCACAACCCCTACCGGGGATGTGCTCACAACCAAGGTACATGCCCCTGACCGGAATCGAACCTGGGACCTTTCAGTCCACAGGCCGACGCTCTATCCACTGAGCCAAACCAGTCTCAGCAGACAATGTATTCTTTATTTCTTGTTGATTCCTTATTATTTCTAGTTGATCCCTTTTCATATCCTCATAGGTCTTGTTTATTTTATCGGCATTTTCTAGGAAATTCTTGAAAAACCTTATAAGTGTGGTTTTGAACTCTGTATCCAGTTGCTTTTTGTCCTCCATTTCTTTCGTTTGTGATCTGTTTCCTTGTCTCAGCATTTTCGCAGCTTCCCTGAGTTGGTAGCCTTAAAAGTCTCTGTGTTCAGCTTGGATGGGGTGGAGTTTCAGGGTGGAGCCTACAGCCTTGGCTTCCATCAGCCCCGCCCTATGCGGCTCCTGAGTCTCAGTGTTCCTCAGTGTCCTTCAGTACTCACTGCAAGCACCTCTGAGAGACAGGCGCCCTGTTGTTTTTCCACCAAACAGTCTAGGCTCTCCCCCAATGAGCCCGGAACTGGGGTTCAGTTCAGCTGGAAGTGGAGTTGGAAGTGGCATTCAGTGCAGTTTGAAGCCCCTGTCTCCCTCCCGCCAGGGCAATCCAGCAGCACAGCCAACCGTTCGTCCTCTGCATGCAATGTGTGCGCCTCCGGGACCTTTCGCCATTCCCCCGGGTTTCCGCCTTACAGCCCAGGCTCCCTCTGTATGAGCCTAGGTCCACAGGGTCTAGCCCAGAACTGGGGTTCAGTGCTGTCGGATCTGGGGTTCAGCACAGTCCGGAGCTTTTATCTCCTTCCACCTAGGGAACACCAGCCAGGCACTCAGCTGCCCCCTCCTCTCTGGCTCCGTTCTCTCCGTGCGCGCAACGTGTCTCCGTACCTTAGGCTTTTACAGCTCCTCTGCTTTTCTTTCTGGCTTTCTCTTTCCTTCTCGTTGTAGAATTTCCAGTCAGTCTACTTTCCTGTAGTTCTGGGTAATGTCCATTTTGTATTTTAGTTGTATTTTATTGAAATTGTTGTGTGAGGCTGCGGTTAGGTGTTTACCTGTGCAGCCATCTTGGATTCTCCTCGTTTCTATTGTATTATTTTTTATATGAACAAATATAATCCTAGTTTTGCCCCACCCTTTATTCAAATGGTTGTAGTTTTATTCCTAAGGCAGTAAATTAAAGGGACAAAAATAGTTTACTAAACATGTGATAGAATATTCCTTTGGGCAGATTATTTTGCCTTTCCATTTCATTAGTTTCTTTCCACACTACGCATCTAACAAAAGGCAGTATTGGCACGTAACTCAATTGTGCTTTCTTACAGAGAGGAAGGGAGAGGGATAGAGAGTTAGA